TCCGCAAATACTTCGCATGGCCACCGAAGAAGCTGAGGTACTTAGTTGCTGTTGCTCCAGATCGTTGCTAGTAACAGAGAAGGATTACAGTCGAATATAGAAAATAGTACTAGCAGTGGTTATTGCGGTTAAGAAATTTCATAAGGTGGTACATGGACGTAAATTTACTTTGTATACGTACCATAAATACTCGTTATCTACTTCGGCAACAAGCTAGGAACCATTGTCCACGCGGCGGACAGATGACATTATTGAGCAACCACTCAGTTAGCCTACGATTTCGACCTCCGGTTTAAAGTACTTCTTCGCTTGTTCAGGCTGCTGCATTATCCAGACTGACTGCAAACTTCACTTCCAAAGCAGCGGAAGAAGATATATTTGCATCAAGCACTCCTTAGATCTATAGATTAGACAAGGATTTTGGACATCCTTAAGCCAACTTGCAGTAACAACAGACGCAGTCCGAGTATAAACAGCAAAAGTTCTCATGTTACAACGTATTTTTGGGAACCTCAGTTTTGGTTGCTCGGTAAATACCTTGGACGTCTACGGTGAGCAGTTTTGTAAAAGGAAGTTCGCCTTAACCCCTATTGATCATTGTTTGATGGTTGCAGACTGAGGCTTGGTTCGTAAGATTTGACAGGGCTCCAAATTAGTTCCACGCAGGTCACCTGTTATCTGTCGTAGGAAATCCACAGCACGCAGTTATGCCTACTACCATTCATGGACCAGGATATTGAAAAGATGGTACGTTTTAGTACAACTCTGTTACGGCAGTAAAAGTGTTTGTCAAACCTAGGTTTCATTCTAAGCCAGAGGTTCCCAACCTGGGGATACCCACCTCAAATGGGGTAAAATGGAATTTAACCGAGGAGAATATCAGTCTGAGGATTTGGTCGTCAATCATTCGCAAACCGATCCTATCAACAAAGTCAGCGGGATCAAAACCTTGCACTAACTACCTATGCACTTCTGTTTAGCCGGCAGTAATCAGTTGTTATTCACTGCAAATGAATGACGTATCCATCGGCTCCAGCTTCTAGCGTTGTTTTCGGGTCCAGGAGCAGTTTGCCGTGTCTAATTAGGGAGTCGATTGCAACCTAGTGTTAGAGCATTGGTCCAACGACCAAGTAAGATAACGCGCAACTGTGTAAAAGTTAAAAAGATCAAAACGGGCGATTATTGTTCACGAGGTATTTATCCAAATTGTTGGTGGAAGCTATTATACAGAAATGACTTAAAAATGAAGCAATACAACACATGAGAAAGCACTGACACCTTTCAAGTTTCCTTAGGAATCACACACGAATGATCATAAGATGCCTTGACTGCAGCTAACAGCTGGAGTACAGAAGCACACAGAAACGCTGCTTTTGGGGTCACAACCAAATCCGAAACGGCGGGTTGGACACACCTGATCATCATGGGTTGAATTGGTTACATGGATCTACAGTTGTTTTTGTCGTGAAGTCATAGGAGATGTATGCTAAGATTCAATGGATCTTATATAGTTGATAAGGAGTTTAGCTGAAAACATGTACATCACTGACAACTATATTAATTCATGAATATATATATACATATATTATAAGAGAAGGAGCACAGGACTAGTGCTCTGGATTCGCCAGCGGCAACTTCAGGCTCACCATCAACAGAAGCAAAACTGTCTGTCTTTTCAGCCTTCATTACAAGTGCAATCTTCAATATTGCTGCGAATCAGCATTGGTGCTGAAGTATTGGAAACCACCTCCCGCCTCTACTAACTTGGGAATGTAATGTCGTCTGCTCAGCAGAAACACAGTGAGCTGCGTGTGGGCGTGTCGATGGCAGCAACGGCCTTCAGGAAGTTCGAGTACCGAGTGTAGGACGACCATCATCTTAGCATTGGCATGAAACTGATGGTGTACAAATCCATCATGCTATGCGTGCTCCTACACGGCAGTAAAACGTAAACGATGTATTGGCGGGATGTGCGATATCTCGAGTGGTTCCAACAGTAGCGTTTGCGACGGATTTTGCGCATCTGTTGGGGCGATAGAGTTGCTGACACGGAAGTGTTGCGACAAAGTAAAATATTTGCAGTGGGCTGCATACTTACGCTTAGACAACTGAGGTGGCTGGGATATGTGAACCTTCTGAATTCGTGGCGGATACCGAAACACCTCTTGTATAGGCAGCTGGGTAATGTAAAGCAGCATGCGAAGAAAACAAATTTACTTTACCAGGATATAATCAAAGTAGGCCACTGACGTTTCATTCTTGATCGCATGTTATGGAAATCGAAGGCGGTTGATCGGCGTGCACGGCGCGATCTGACCACGAAGGCAGTAGCCGAGAAACCCATCGTGCATGCAGAGAGGAAACGGCAATTGCGGAATCGGCAGGTGCCGATGGGTTGTACTCCATCGACACCGAACTCATGGTGCTGTGTCACATGCGGTCTCGAGAGCCTCAGTCAGGCAGGCCTAGTGAGCCATGAGCGAGATCACTCGGGACCACCACCGAAGCGACGACGATTCTTGCAGAAAACGTAAGCAGAACCGACGCAGCGTTTGTAGGTACGCTGCATTCGATTTGCTAACCGCGGGCTTGCAAGTTAAGTCTATTTTTTTCAGGTGGCTGGTTTTCAATTTTGTTCTAATGCTTTTCCTTTCTAACTAAATGTCTACCTGCACTCTTTTTGATAAACTTGAACCCGTCGCTTAAGCCAATTGTAGTTAAGTTCGATACCATTTTCGTGTTTGTGGCATTTTCGTAAAACCTACTTTCTGACCTCGTGCACTTATCTCGGATTCGTTTGTAAACAACTTATTTCAGTTTAAGATTTATGTCACCGTTTCCTCATGCATTACTCGATATATTTTATCTGTTATCTTGCTCTCAGTTGATTGGCTGTTGCTAGATATCCCCGGTGTGGGTGCGCTTGATGTTCATGATGACAAGATGCTTACCTTTCCGTTACCCACTACCTCGTTCATACTGGCTCCAGGAGACCGTTGGTCGTTGCTGGAGGGGACGGGGTGCACGGCCCTTGTAGTCGTGCTAGGTCCGAAGAATGGTTTCATGCACTCAGTGTGAAGCGGACTACGGTCCAGCCACCGCCTTGTGTGCGCTTGATTACGTAACTACAATGCGCTTGGGATTTTGCCTGTGAAACATGGCTCCCATCGACACACCTCCCAGTCTTATTCCGTCGGGTTTACACTGTGTATGGGGTGTGTGGTTGAAACTGTAGGTGGCGCAGAGCCAGCCAACTGTGATCCACCTGTAGGCGCTGGAGTCCTGTGGCTGGCCACATTGACAGGCAAATCCGAAACCGGATGCCGTCAGCCAATCATATATTAATGCATTCCTTTAGCTTGTGGTTTTTAAATTGCCGCAGCCTTTTTAAGTATTTGTATCTGTCAGGAACGTTAGTATAAGCATTCAATTGCGCGGGTTGAATGGCATTTTCCGGATATCCTAGGGGTAGTGACTCGGGTTTGTGGCGAGATAATTCCGCCACGTCGCGGTGTTTATGAGCAGACATTTGTGTTGTTTTTATGGGGAGAACGTTTGCTAGGCCAAACCTACCACGTTCTGGAACACTGTCACCGAAGTGTTTTGCAGGAACGGGTTAATCACAAACTACGCAGCCGGCACAACGTGGAGGTAGTTCGGCTACATCAATAACCCGGCTCTTCCCGCCTCTTTTGCCCGTGTCCACTTAACTTGGGCACGACTCGTTATAGAACAAATTTCTAGTGGTCCACCAAGGCAGTGTGGCACCGCTGCCCCATTTTATTCTACGCTTGCATGTTCAGAGCTTCGCAGGCACCCCTACCTAAGCTTTCCTTTAGCTACAGCAATTGTTCCTGTAAACCACCGCTCCTCCTCTTGACTGACTGCTTGGCAGCGCGTTTCCCTTATTCTCTTAAATTTGAACGATTTCTACATACTTACTCCTGCTTGTTCCTGATGTCAGCTCTGTCCAATAGGCTAACCTTTGTCACCGCATTGCTCCACCTTCGAGTGGTTCACAGAATCACCTTGGCACTGCTGCCCCATATTTTGCTAGATCGGCAGGTTAATATCATCGCTGGTTCCCTTGTCCTATCTTTCCTCCAGTTACAGCATATGCTCCTATAAATCAGCGCTCCACCGCTTCGCCGAATTCTCGACAGTCCCTGTCTCTTAAGCTTTGAAGGAGGAACAACTTCTGCAAGTTGCTCTATCCCGTGCTCACCCCCGATGCACTTTATGTAAATCTGACGTTACGGTTCCACCACAGAGCTTCACAATCGAGTTGTGTCTTAAACAGGCATGGCACTACTACCTCATTCTATCCAAATTTGCAGGTTCGCAGAGGCGCTGTCTCCACCTCCCAATCTTCCCTTCAGTTGCAACAAATGTTCCCCTAAATGGACGCTTTTCATTACATCTGATTGCTTTGCTCTTCACTTCCGTTACTCTCTTAACTAAGAGCTCATTCTTCTACATAATAATCCCGCTCTTTCCGTCTATTATCTCAGGTTATCTGACTTACCTGTGACACTGTAAAGCTCCACCTTCAAGTGGCACACTTAAGCATTTTATCACTGCTGTCTCAGTTAATTCCATATCTGCTTGTACATAGCACCGCTGGCTTCATAACCCGAACTTACCTTCCGCTACAGCAAGTGTACCTACAAGGCACCGCTTTTGCTCTTAACCGACTGCTCAAAAGTCCATATCCCTTACTATTGCAACCACATGCGGACTCTACTACCTCATAGAGATGGCTCTTCCGCACCGTGTTCTCACTGTACCTTTGACTTACCTGTGACACCGTTTAGCTCCACTTCGAGTGGTTCCTGTAGTCTATTGTGGGGACGCTTACCATATAATTGCCAACTGTAAGTTCAGGGCTTCACTGGCTTTACTAGGCAGTAAACCCTTCAGCTACATAGGTTGCCCCAGTAAATCACCGCTCCTTCAATTAAAGGAATTCTCGGCAGTACATTGCACTTAATCCCTAAAATATGCGAGGATACTTCTACAATAACCGCGGCTTTTATTTATTAATAGGCGCCACGTAAGTCAGCTGCTACACCGACTTACATGGTTGGGTGGAGCCGGGGATACTAGCCGGTAAGCAATGACACCTAAGGTGTCAAATACGAGGCAGTATATAAGTCGGAGGCGACTGAACCCAACGTCTATTGTGCGGGCTACAAAATAGGAAGCGAAGCAGCCAGAGCGAGAAACGGTGCAGCAAGGTACTCACCAAAACGCTTTGCGTGTCAATGGATTTGCAGACAGTAAAACAAGTGGACGTTTTGAAGGTTAAACCAACAGTAAAATCCAATATTGCAGAACACTGAAAAAGCATGTTTTCTGGTACGTCACAAGTGTCTTCCCCTAGATGGCTGAAAAATGGAAGCCTTCGATGGAGCTGTTACTGAGCGAAAACCTAAGGTGTGGATGGGTTCAAATATTTGCATGTGCTTGAGTAAGGGCCTTCAAGGTGGGGTTTGTAGCGGAGTCTGCTGGGTCCAGGCTTTTGGTAGTTATTATTTGTGATGATCGTGTGGACCAGAGTGCATCATCGATGGGCCGTCGGGGCGGGATAGTCAGACTGCGACAAACTGGCTAGAACAGCAGAAAGGCCGACAGGACCTTCCCTTTGCTGCAGACCCGACGGTGCGCTTGGGAGGTATCACTATTCCCACCGCACTTTAGTCCACGGTCCTCGTCCCACGATAAAACCCAGGCGTCCTCGTCCCACGAAGCAATTCGGCGTCCTCGTCGGCAACGCCTATCTAGGCGTTTAGGGACCCATCCTACGTGGCTGTCTGTGGCCGAGGGCAAATGAATTCTTGGGTCAGGAATAGTGCCTTGGATCAGCTTGCGGGTCACTCGGGGCTTGCTTTGACAGTTTTGCGGTTGAGTTTCAGAAAGGTAGAGCTTGGAGGAGTGGCCAAGGGTATGTGGAAGTGGCTTGACGCCGGAGGGGAACATGGCATGCAAAATAAACACAAATACGCTCCTAATGTTGTCAAAATGTTTCGGTTTCTTTGTCGGTGTTACAATACGGTTGTGAACAAGAGCCACGGTAACCGCTAAAGACGAAAAAGGCATATTAATGGAAAGAGCAGACGTCTACAAAATCTGAAAAGTGGACCGGACGTTTGACCTGTCTACCGCGTGATCGGTTTCCTGGTGTTGAGGCGGGATAGGTTAAGGGTCAACGGGTACGGAGGGTTTCGGGAAATCCAGTGCTCGGAAAGTCACCGCAGGTGCGCGTGATTGTGCAAAGTATCAGGATGGGTTGCAAGTGGCTCGTAAAAGAAAGTCGCTTTGAAGCGGTCGATGGACACCGTTGTGCGGCGCCCATTCCGGTCTAAAGTAAAATAAATAATGTTTCGGAGTCCGTTGAAGAACTCCGAAAGGGCCACGGTAGTGAGGCTGCAGCGTGCGCCGCACTGCGTCGGTGCAGAGGAAGACGTGGGTGCAGCTAGAGTACGCTGTACATTTGCACATCACTAGTATGTTTAGGAATTGGAGTCGGGCCTAGTAAACGCATGCGTTGAGCTAGGGAGGACGCAAAGTTAAGCGGAGGCATGCCCGATGATGCGGGAGGTGAAACGAATTCTCCTGGAAAGTTGAGCGTCGTGCCGTAAACCAGCTCTGCTGATGCACATTGTAAGTCAGCGTTGATGCTGCTGCGAAGGCCTAAGCGCACGAGCGAAACGTTTTCGCCCCAGCTAGGGTCGGAGGAGGCGCAGAGCGAGGCTTTAAGCTGTCTATGAAAGCGCTCAACTAACCCATTGGCCGCTGGGTGATACGCTGTGGTATGAATGCGGCGACAGCCTAAAAGGTTGCAGAACGTATCGAATAGTGACGCTTCGAAGGGCGTTCCTCGGTCAGTTGTAATGGTGAATGGGCATCCGTAGTTCGAGTCCCACCGGTCCAAGAAGGCTTCGGATAACAGTCCCAGTTGTGCAGTCTGTTACGTTAATGGCTTCGGGCCATCTGGGGAAGCGATCGACACATAATAAATAAAGAAATAAATTTGTATATTTACCGACGGACGGTACACGGCCTCATGTAAGAATGTATACGAATCCGAGTGACGGAGGCGAGAGACCTACTAGGTCTAAGTATACATGCGAGAACCGAGAGTCCTGAGCAGGAACTTAACCAAGAGGACTGTGAGTGTGGCGATGCATTTTGGAGCGCTAACATTGAAGGCAGGCGCGAGCCCAGCTACGAACATCTTTGTTTACGCGTGACCAAACGAAACGTTTGGTGTCTACTTTCAAAGATGTACAGATACCAGGATGTGCTAGTGAGTGCGGTGCGTCAAAGACTGTGTCTGAAGCAGACGGCCGCGACGGGGTCAAGGACACACTGTGGAAGCATCACAGAAAAGGGTTCCTTCCATGGTTTAGAGAGGAACAGATTGCACATACAGCGAAGTAGACTGTAGAGGGCGTTATATAACTTCACCTTGAAGCCGAGCTGCTTCCATGGCGGCAAATTCGACGGTAGGCAAAACTGGAAAGTGAAGTTGACGCGTGAGAGAGCGTCGGAGACGGGATTGTCGGCACGAGACATGACGTATGTCAGTAGTGAACTGCGTGACAGTCAAGGTGTCTTGTTTCCAATGGTGCGTATTTGTCGCAAGTAGAGTTGAAGGCGAAGATGGGGGCTTGTGGTCAGTGTAGACCGTGAAAGCGCGGCCTTTGAGTGCATGCCGAAAGTGCCAACTGGAAAGGTAAATGGCGAGCAGTTCTCTGCCAAACGTGCCGTAGCGGGATTCTGCTGGCTGAAAGCGCTTGGAGAAGAACCCAAGGAGTTGCCATTGCGCACCAACGTTCTGTTGCAGGACGGCTTCTACCGTGACGTCTGAGGCAGCTGCGTAATCGAAAGGGGTACAGTCGATTCGGAATGAGCGAGGAGGGCTTTGTTGGAGATATCATCCTTGAGCTCGGCGAAGGCTCTCTTTGTTGCGTCAGCGAAAGCGAACTTACGTTCATGCCCATTGAGTAAGACAGTCAGTGGCTGCATAAGCTGAGCGCAGCGCGGAATGATGCGTCGATACTAGTTGACCGAACCACAAAATCGACGGAGGTGCTTGAGCGAAGTCGGAGCTGGGAAGTCCTTGATTGCCTGGATTTTATCAGGGCGTACTTTGATACCGGACGATGAAACGAGGTGGCCTATAAATTCTAACGTTGATTTGCCGAGTTCGCATGTAGTCGGGTTAACTGTGACAACGTGTTGGGTCAAGCATTGGAAGAGAGTCCGAAGGTGGTCGAGGGGCACTTGTTCCGATGCAGTGCTACTAAAATATCATTGAGGTAGGAATAAGCGTAGTCTATGCTACTAGTGACATCGCGGATGAAGCGTTGGCAGGTTTGTGCGGCGTTGCACAGTCCAACTGGCATCCTCAAAAATCCAAACAAGCCGAAAGATGTGCTGACGTCTGTTTTAGGAAGGCCATTGTCTTCCACAGGTATCTGTGGATAGTCGCGAACTAGTTCTATCTTTCTGAAGATTGTCTTGCCTGTGAGGCATACTGTAAGGTCCTGCATGTGTGGGAGGGGATACCTAACTGGGACTATTAGCCGATTAAGTGCGCGGTACTCACCGTGAGGGCGCCAGTCACCAGACTTGTTGGGGACCATCTGCAGGGGCAAAGACCAAGGGCTGTCGGAAGGGCGGATTCTTCCAAGTTCAAGCATGTGCTCAAACTCCTCCCTAGCTACCTTCAGTTTCTCGGGCAATAGTCGGCGTGGAGGTCATGACACAGGTGGGCCATTCGTCCGTATGTGGTGCGTGACTTTGGCTGCCACGGGCAAAGCTGCGTTCATTGGCTGCAAGAGCATTGAATACTGAGAAAAGAGGTTGGCGTAGACTAGCGTGGTCTGGGGAAATGCATGGACCGGTGTTATAGATGCGGTATCAGTGGTGATGCCACCTACACTGAGTTGCATTGCAGTGGCGACTATTTTCTGGCGTTTCGCATCGACCAAGAGGTCGAAATGTCTGAGAAAGTCAATGCCGATGGTGGCAAAGGGGACTGCAGCGACGGTGAATACCCAGCGGAACGTGCGCCGCAGACCTAGGTCCCGGGTAGGCGACCGGTGAACATAGGTGGCTAATGGCGTGCCATTGAGGGCACTGAGGCGTGCCGACAGAGAAGCGGTAGGCTCACCTTGCAGCAGAGAAATAACGCTGACTTCCGTCACAGTATCAGCTAAGTAGTGGGTCTCGGAAGCATAATCCCTAACGTAGATGAGATGACTTTGGGCCTTCCCGACGTCATTCGTGGCCGTTACAAGGCGGCGTGGCGGATCATCTGTAGCGGAGTAGCTACATGGCTGTACTCACGTAGTGCTTTATTACCGAACCACGAGTGGCAAAGGCAGTAACCTGAGGCGCCCGGGTTCATGTGACGGGCGATGATCTAGAACGGTTGCGGTGCTTACGGCTTACAGTGAGTTCCTCGATCTGGCGCTGAATCGACGCTATCTGCTATGATACCTCGTCTATTGACAACAGTTGACTAGTCGTGTGTCGGTGTAGTTGCGCCAGCACGAAGCTGCTTAAGTGCTTTGGTTTCTGTCTCTGGCTGGGACGTTCGATGACGCGGTCCGCGAGATCTGTAATTGCTGTGATTGGCAAGTCACTTGCTACCGCAAGGATAGCCTGAGTGCTTTCAGGAAGGCGTTGCATCCACTTCTCCCGGGGAATCCCCACGTCCATGTTGGACGTGCCGATGAGCTGTTGCATTTCGCACAACAAGGCTGAGAGCATCCTATCTCTTAGCTGCAGGTCACTAAATAGTTGCTGCAGTTAGCCCTTGTCAGAAGGCGCGATTCGCGGAATATTAGCCTGGGTACGAGTCCTGTATTTCATTACAAGAAGGGGAAAATATGATGTCTCCCACCTGCGAGGATATACTCTGAGAAGGGCGAGATATTAGCTGAGTATACATGTCAAACTCAGAAGAAATCCAACGAATGTAAAAGCGGATTCTAGATGCAGTAACCATAACGAAGGATCATTCCTCCAAGGTACTGTAGG